TATCTGAATGATTTGTTGAAATGACCTGGACAGGCTTTTTGGAGGAAACCATTTGATGCACTTGAGACAAAACCCTCCCTAACTTCCAGATGAGGCACTATCCTTCAGAGCCTACAATTAGGTTGTAATGGAGTAGATTGTTAATATTTTTCCTATTGCTATTCCCTCCCTTCTTGATATTCAGTGTGAAATCATTGATCTTAACAATTTGCTTACTGTTTAAAAATGCATAAAACAGTGCTCGTATTTTTGTCTTGGATTTAACACTACTCAGCTCTAGCATGTATCTTCCTAGGCTAGTCCTGGCCATAGTACCTCCTAACACTGTTACATGTCTCTTGCCCCTGGGTGACAGTAACAGATTTAGCTATAAAATTTTACGGCAGTGTTAGCTGCAATTTTAATAAAACATAACACGTGCCTTTAGGCTTGCAAGTTCTTTTGTACTAGTTCTTTAAATATGGGTAACTCAAAAACTGGTGATGACAGCTGTCTGGTTTTTGGTTGGGCTTTTGTACCAACTGCCTGAATAAATGCACCTCCATTATCCATTAGTAAATTGGGGGTGGAGGGTGGGGGGGTGTTCAGCTAAGGAAAATAATCTTAAAACTAAATTGCAAGTACTGTCTTGGTTTAAATTGGCTACAATTGCCAGAGTGAATTTAACTTGCTGGATTTGGGCCAAGTAGTGGATAATGGTGGTATTTATGTTGACAGTTTTATATTCCCCCCTGAGTTCTATTTATTTTTTAAAAAAGTAAATCTTCAGTTAGCAAAAAAGTGATACTGTAAATTAAAATAGATCAAGAACAGTTTAAGAGGTAGTTACATTTCTTTTTCTGCTCCCCAGACTTTGCTAATTCAGTGTGTGTGACCTTTATTGCACTTGAACCTTGATTTATAACTTCATTTATGGTAATGAATGTCAGTTGCAAAATAGCATTATTCTTATGCTGCTATTTAATTTCATTTTATTCCTTCTGCGATAAGATGAATTCTGGTGTCTTACTGAGCACTATGGCACAGGATGAGCTGGTGAATGGCTAACATGAAATGCAGTACTGGAGTACTTCAGGTTTTTTTTCCCAGACATTTGAAGTCTGAACTGTTGGATTCTGACTGAATTCAGTTCTTGTTTTGCAATTTAGATTTATATTTTTCCTCCAGTAAAACAAGAGAAGTGCATGTTTCCTTTGCTGTACTCTGAAGATTTTTTTTTTTTCTTGTTTTTTGCGGAGCCTTGACAATTCAAATAGTCAGAACAGCTTCCTATGAATAAATACCCTATTCTGAAATACATTTTGCTATCTAGAGTTTTAAAAAATTGCTTTAAAGAATTTTTTTGGTTCTCTGCGAGGTGTATTCCCCAGGTGCCTTCATATCTTGCAGAGTTTTGAAGTATGTTATGCTTTAAAGAAGTGGTATTGGATTCTGTAAAAAGGTTATTGGCTTTCATGACACAGAGGTTATTTAATTCTTCCTGCTTTAATTCTTTTTTTTTCCTCCCAATGTCCCAGCTTTAAACTAAGCCTTGGCCTCTGCAAGTAGAGCTAAGCTGGTCCAGCCCTCTTCCCCATAGCAGCAGTGCTCTGTACCTCACAGTGGCAGACCATACTTCAGCTGTCTGTGAAGTTGTCTTTGTGCTTAAAGGCTTGTTTTGGTGCTCCACAGGGAAGAGATTTTTCCTTGAGTGTGGTCCTGCAGGTGCCGTGTGACAAGGTCCTGGGCATCCTGGTCTGATTTGGCCATCCTTTGAGCAGGGCTGGGACTAGATAACCTCTCTAGGCTAAAGATGTGTCTTGGCTCAGTCAGAGAGAGTGTCAGGATTGGAGCTTCCCTCTCTGATGCATGAGCAGGGCTGACCTGCACTACTTACCTGAACTACTTCTATCAGACTTTTCGTGTCCCTGTCTCATTAGTGATGTGATGTGATGTGATCCCAGATCTTTTTTTCCCAGATGAATTTTTATCTCAGTGATGTGAGAAGCTGTATGTCAGGCATGCTTCCAGATGAGTTTGTCAAGACTCTCTTTTTATAAAAAAAAGTTCTTACAGATGCGATAGGAAAACTGTTACCTATGCAAGGGTTTCTTATGGCTGGACAAGAGCAGTCTGGTCTCCAGAGCATGGTGCCACCATGCTGTCCTTAGTGACATCTCTTTTAACATTTGACTGCCCTAGTGGTGTTGAAGCACCTTCGGTGCTCTGCTTCATAAAATAGCTCTTTACGAGGAATCCCATGCTACTGAAACAAGTTATGTCAATGATAAAGTAATTTTCACTTATATTTGATCACTTGCTGTTTTCCCTCTACCTTGCACTAATTTATCTTTCCTCTAACTCCAAAGAAGTAATGACTTCAGCCTCTCCTTTTAAAACCATCCCAAGATAGTACCTGACTTAGGCTCTGAAGGAGGAGATTTATGTCCTTTTTAATTAATGCAACTTGAAACTCCCATTATTCATAGATGTTAAAGTGTGGTTGGTTTGGGTTTTTTTCCATCTCCTACCAAATGCTTGCCTTCAATTTCTCCTTTTGGTAGTAAGTTTCTAAAATTGGTTACACACTGGGGTTTAGCTTTTTTTAATAGCTTTCTAGCTACACTGAATAGAGTGTAATTATGTAGACTGTCATGTGCTATCAAACTCAAAAGTCAGTTGTAGTTAAATCCACAAGACTGATGTTCTAGAGCTTTGTAGTATTTTGTGACAAACCAAATAGTCTTCTGTATTCTGTGTGTTGGTACCCAAAATACTTCACTTGGGAATTATCTAAACCAACTGGTTATCGTAATCAGGGCAAACTATGAAAAAATGTCTTCCTCAGAGATAGAGTGTTTCCTGGAAGTTTGTTTATGCTGTTACAGTTTTTCATCGTGAAATCCTTGTATCTGAAGAATAGATGGTACTTCAGTGGGGATGGTTTCAGTGGCAGTGTCACATGGACAGTGTGATAGCTGGCTGATGTCATAGCTTCCTGTTGGAGCAGAAGGAGGAGTGCAGGTGGAGGGCAGGCAGCACTCTTCTCAGTGACCTCCTGTGCTTGAGTTAATGAGTCTGGGTTTTTATTCTCACCCTGGCATCCAGCAGGAGGGAACAAGAGGAGGTTAGAAAAGCATCAGGAATGTGATGGTGCTGGCCTAGGTTTCTTGGCCATCCCCAGAGCATCTAGAGCTTCTGGGAACAGTTGCCTCAGTTAATCTCTTTGGTCCAAAGTGGCTCTGATTTTGCCCAGTGTTGTACAGGTTTGCTGTATCTGAGAAAAGCTGCTGAAAGGGCAGTTCTAGTATATATAGACAGAGCTCTTTTTCCATGCTTCTGTAAAAGCTCTGCTTAACCTGTGAGGATGGAAGGAGACCATATGCAGACCAGTGCAGAGGAAGCTTGTGTTGGGAAAAATGGGTCCCATCTCCAGTCCAGTCAGTCCCATCCAGTTCCTGAATATAAACTCAAAATTTTGGTCTGATGTTTTCTGGCTGTCAGGCACCAGTGATGCCTGTGGCTTTGGAAGACTGGCTCTTGCAGGGCTCCCCCTGTTTAATAGGGATGTTCCTTCTCCAGCCTGAGGTTTGAATCTCTGAATTCCTAGGCATTTTCTAGGGAAGAAAAGTAATCTTTATTTCTGTAATATTTGTGCTGTACTTCTCCTGCTTGCATGATAATTACAACTGGTGTTTGAAGAGCTTAGGTAGTTTTGCTGGGCAGAGGGAAGAAGCAGCTCTTCAATAACGGCTAAAGCTTGAAGGCTCTTATAGTTTAAGACCTTAAATTAATGAAATTATTTTGGAAGTCAATGTCCTGGTTGAATGAATACTGGTATTATAGTATAACCTTCCCCCCCCCCCCCCCC